TTATCGCTATAAAAATGTTATTGCTTGTGTTATTGTTAGCTAGTATAAAAGTATGTTATTATTGTTATAAAAACATAATAATAATAATACCTTTCATGTCCATGCTCATCATGCATTGTCATTACATCCAATCAAATCCCCTAAAATTAAAGCATCTAATGTAAAATCTAAATTCCAAAACTTAATGCAAATAAAAATTTAAAAAGGTTTGTTGTACTAGTAGTACAAAAGGGGGGAGTTGTAAAAGCAAAAAAAAAACTAACAAAAAAAATGCAATGCATAACAGTTCGTTAGCAAAAGTCAAGCTAACTGTAACCCTAATAATGCAAAATTTGTAAAAGCAAAAATTGTATAAGGCAAATAAAAAAAACTGTAAAAAGTTGTTACAACCTTGTATAAATAATATGTAAAAAAATATTATATGTAAACTAAAGTCAAAACAAATAAAAAAAATAAAATATCAAAATGGCCTATGTATAAACAAAATGCAGCTGTTGCTTATTATTGTCTGTAACAAAAAGTATAAATGCTTGCTGTAATTGTTTACCTGTAAAAAAACCTGGTTAGCTCTCTCCCTCTACGCAATTGTTAAAAAAAAATAAAGTATCTAACCTGCTGTACCCAAACAAAAAGTGAGAACTCTGTTATTCTCCAACACCACCGTGAGGATTAAGAGACCCCTAGGGTTAGGCCGAGGTGTTCCTAAATTCCCTAGGTACCAGCATTGGAAAAATGACCCTATCCCACATAATAATCCTGGACCTTCGAGTGGGCATGCCCCTCGACAGGGTTATACGTTTGAACCCCATGTAGGGGCCCGGAACCATGCTCCTTTCTTTTCAGATGCTGCCCAGAACAATTCAACCTGCAGGGATCCAAGTCACTGCCTCCCCACAGAGATGAGGACTCAGTTGTAATGATGTTTAAAACAGTGAAGCAGATGCTTGAGGCTCAACAACGGGATATCCAGGAACTCCAAGCATGCGTGAATGAGCTGATGATGGAAGGCCAAGGCCCAGCACCCTCGAACCGTCTGGTGGCCTCTGTTAACTCATTTCCTTCTCTCCGGTGGACAGCCTTTCCTCCTCCAGAGTTGGCTGCCTCCGAAGAGATAGAAGGAGAACCCATAGATTATTTGTCTGCCTACTCTACAAATTACACGTCATGACGCTAACCAGCCCCGAGCATAGTCATAGCCCCTTTAGGCAGGGATGCAAGTGGGAGACCCACAGTATCTGCAGTGGTAGGGAGCCTCCACAGAAATTTTATTATAAATACTGGGGCAGCAATTACCATTATCCATGTCAAGGATCCTAGATCCTCTTCTCTGTCATCAGAGCATACAAAAACACTTTCAACTTTTGCAAGCAATCAGGTTGTTACCACACTTTCTAAACCCATTAAAGTACAGATAGGTAACCTAAGAAAGATTCATACCTTTGCGTTGATAAAATTAGCAGGCCCCCAAAATTGCCTATTGGGAACTAATTTCCTATACTAACTGGGATGTGTTCTTGATTTGGTTAACCAATTGTTGTGTCTTACTGTAGAACAGGCAAAGGATGACTCACCAGTAATCATACCTGAGTGTGGCATAGTATCTTCAGTGGAGGACTCTGAACCTGAGGGGTATGATTTGAACAAAATAGTGGCTAATCATGCAGACCAACCTAAGAGACTTGGGCAACAGGTAAGGAAAATGAATTCTGTTAATTCCCAGTAGGAATGAGGGTAAAGAAGTGAGTGAGACAAGAGAAGGAGAGCAACATAGTGAGGGAGAGGAAAGCCATGTATGTGAATAATGCAGAAACAGGGGTATAATGCCCATTGTTTGTCCTCAAACAAATTCTTTGCAGTCTAGGATGTTTCCTATAGTTTACTGTTCAGAAAGAGCCTAGTGAATGAGTGCAGCTGCATAGCCATGAATGATTGGGGTACGAAAGCTGGCCATCTGAACTATGTTAGTACTGACTTTGGTCTTCTTCAGAAGGAAGTCTAGTCTTTAGTGATTAGTGTGGGATTTGGTAATGGGGTGCATGTTACCAGTATAGCAGAACCCTGTTTATCTGAGCCTCCATTATCTGGCTCTCCATATTAATCAACCAACCAGCAACACAGAGGAATATGGGAAATTGATGTCACCTCCCTGGCAACACTACTGTAACTATCACATCTTTTCAGCCTTGTAAAATGATCATGACTAGTAAGTAAAAAAAGTGTAGTACAGTCATTGGATGCTAAAATAGAGATTATTAATAAAATAAAAAGGACAGTCACTGGCAAAAATAGCCCAAGATTATAACATTGGAAAAAGCACAATATTGGACATCAAACACAGTATCGAGCAAATTCTTAAATACAGAACGAATAACTCTGCATCCCGGAAGAACATGAAGCAATTGAAGAACGCTGGTCTGGATGAAGCCCTTTATTGGTGGTTTATACAGGCGGGAGAGGAAGGCATTCCTATTAGTGGTCCTTTACTAAAAGGCTAAGAGCTTTAATCAAACTTTAGGAGGGGACGCATGTTTCTCTGATAGTCAGCGATGGCTCTGTCAGTTTAAAAAGCCTCATGACATTCAACAACTGATTTTTATTTTTGCATTTTTATAAAATTGTACTGTTTGTGATGTCATGTATAAACCAACTATATAGAGATGGTGCCTTGTGTAACATTAAACAGACTTTGTGCATGGTCCTTATAATGTTCAGGGTTAAAGAGCAAAGCGTGTAAAAATGATCAATAAAACTTGTTAAAAACTCACGTTGGTTTTCCTGTTAATAAATGAAGAAAACATTGTTTTCAAGAATCAAATGCTTTGTATATTTGGTTAAGGAGATAAGAAGGGAGCTATGTTTTAATGCTTTTCTGGGAGGGGTCAGCTAGTTTAAAAGCAATGTCGCATCTTAAAATAAAGGATGGAAAGCTCTTTGCCCATTCTCCTGACTGTCTGAATTTTTGATTATCCCTTCTGGCCCCGGTCCCAATTAGATTGGATAAATGGGGTTCTACTGTACTTAGTAGTCCGGTATTGATTGCTAGGAGGCCATATATGATCCTAAGAGAGCCCAGTGCTGATCACATAAATGTCTGGACTGTGAACTGGAAAAGGAGAATTTCCCAAAGCACAGAAAAGGAGGAAAAAATACCAGTGTGGGTTAGAGAGGAGAGAGAGACTGACCTCCTGTGCCCGCAAGGGGGGCCGTGATACCAGCGAAAGAATGACACTCAGTGCCTGAGAGTAAAAAGCAAGGCTTTACTGAGGGAAGAACTTACACTCCAAGCGGTGCGGGGAGCCTCTTGAGATGTGCGGAGGGGTTGCGGGGGGAACTCTGACTGTCCGGAACAGCTGGCCAGGCAGGACTCCACTGAAGGGAGTCCGCTGCAATGCTATATCCCCCCGCGCTTATCTCAAGGTTCCATGGGGTCAAGAGCTGGCTACATTCATTGCATTCATAAATCATACTCATTATATAAGCTAACTTGTTTACAGACAAAAACATGCTGAACTATACTAATCTACATTTTGGCAGGATCTGCCAAACAAAGTTCATTGCACACCCTTCAACTGCTTCCGCCTGCATTCAGTCACATACTCGGTCCGCCCCTTAGCTCCTCGCCAAGCTTCCGCAACCTGTCCCCTACACCTCCATAATTCAGTACAAGCAGAGCTGGTAGCAGTGCCTATAGTTAAGTTTGCCCAAAGCATTACATTATAAAATTCTGCTTTCATTTGCTCATGATCTTGACTTACTTTAATCACTTGGACTGAAATTTTCCATGGCAGGTGTCTGCCTCATGCTAATTTTTTTTTGGAAAGTCTCAGCTAAAATAGTTCCACCATTTCTAAGAATGAGAAGAGAAAGATACATTGTTTTGTCCATGTTAAGAAATGCTCACAGCTGCTTTGTTGAGAAGCTCTAGCACCTCCAGGCATTGGCAAAGGGACTTGAAGTCAATGGGAGCTGCGCTTTGAACATATAAAGTGCTATATAATCCCAAATACTCTGAAAAATCAGGTCCTAAGTATCTCAAATTGGGCACCCAAAATTAATAGACACTTCTGACAATTTTGGGCTTTAATCTCTCTGTGTCCCTCACCTCACAAAATAAATTTGTTGATGGCTGGGAGTGACTCAGATATTATAGTGATGAGCACCACAGAAACAACCATGAGGAAATGACCAATTCAGTATTTAGAGCAAGGTTTGGCTGGTGTTTGGTAAATAAGGTGATGAGCCACACATTGAATGATAAGTATAAACTATGGCAATTTACACCAGCTGAGGATTTACCCCGATCTTCCCTCACTTTGCAATGCTGACAAATTTCAGACACATGCAAACCAACTACAACTGTCTCTTTCCAACAGTGTTCCTGATTGCTTTAGTACGTGCTGCCTTATATCCTATAGTCCTAGGGAAGGAAGTTGTGTGTAAAACTTCTCAGCTCTTCAGTTCACACATAACAGTGAGTTGGCAGAGGTGTCTAATTCTTAATTGAATAATAACTAGGGGAAAATATATCCAACCGTCTTCAGAAACACAAACTATTTTTTATGCTCATGGAGAGTTGGATTTAGGGGCAGGTGACCCAGGCGACCGCCTGGGTTGTCGGGTTTGGGAGGCATCGGGCTCTGGGTGCTGTTCTTGTTGTTAGTGACAAAAGGGAAAATAGGATGTGGGAAGCCGCACCTTCAGGCAAAGGGGCTGCAGGGACGTTCTAGTCACCGCATCCCACTGCTCCCATTGGCTGGGAACAGAGAACTGCAGCCAGTGGGAGCTGCAGGGGGTGGTGCCTGCGGAAAATCAACGTCAGAAAAATGTCTTGCGGCCTGCAATCAGATTACCCCAATGGGCCACATGCGGCCTGACGGTTGCCCACCACTGTCCTAGAATGTTGTCAGCCATGCCCTCCTGGGTATATAAGGGGCAGGGCGTCACCAGTTAGGCAGTGAGATATAAGAATGAAGTGAGAGCACAGCTGCGATATTGTGAACCTTATTTTATTGTATAATTGTGAAAGTATACTTGTGTATTAAGACTCGAAGAGTATAAGTAGCAACTAATAAAGGACATTTACATATGGCACGGATAAATATAGATTTACAGATCCTAGAGTGCAAATTTATCATCTTAAATGACAGGGATAAACCATGTGTGCAAATCATGCATCGAAGTCATGAAATGGGTTACAAATGCAATAAAAATAAAGTATTCAAAAGTTTAACAAATGCAGGGGGTGGCGCTGAAGATGCTCCTCTCCTGGGGCACCATTTAGTCTAGGGCCGGCCCTGTGCTCATGGTAATGTTGAGGTGCTTTGGCAGATGTGTAGGAGGAATCCCAGGACTGACATGGAAGGGAGCAGAGCAGACCAAGACTGAGGGACAGCAGCAGAGCTGTGGGGAGCTCATGGAATTAAAATCGCAAGGAAGTGGTATATCAGAATTGTGGTGTATTGTTCAACCTGTATTAGAGCCTCAAAGGGAATTTCAAGAATTTCTGAAAGTTACAATTTGCGGTATTAGCAACATTTTGTTGGAACCCAGGACTGAAGTAGCAAGTGCTGCTGATGGACATACAAATGGACAGCAAAGGGAGAGAACTCAGGCCCCTACCACTGATGGACAGGAACGAACTGCAGTGGGAGAAATGTAGGTTGACCCAGAACTGGAATAATATGGATGCTCCAGGTTAATCTGATGAATGTGCAACTGAGCAAAAGATGCAGAGGTGAACTTTATACGGGATATCAAGAAACATCTCTTCACAGGGAGGGATTTTTTAGACTGTGGAATGGTCTTCAAAAGGGAAGAGGTGGGAGCTCCATCAGTAGGGACATTTAGACATCTCAGCGTGGTATCTATCACAAGAAAGGGTGTGGGAAATCCTCAGCAACTTCTTTTCATCAGTTTTCATCAGAAGGCACATGGGCAGATACCTGCTCTATACAGGCAATCAAGATGAGGCATTGTCAGATACGGAGGTATCAAAAAAAAAAGTAAGATTGAAACAAATTGATAAATCACAGTAACTCAGGGCCAGGTGATATTTTCCCAAGAGTTCGCTACAGATTATAGCTAGGAGTGACTGAGCTAAACCCCAAAATATGAAATGTGTTATGAAAATAGTAGAAGGTAATTTACTAATCTAGCCTGGCAGGCAATCAGTGCTGTGCATATCTTTGGTTTATTTTCCTGACTCATATGGAGTAATAGGACTACTCATAGAGTAAGGTATTTATCCACAAGTAGCCCTACTAAAATCAATGGGTCTTTTCAGAGTAAGATGCTACTCCATGAGAACAAAGTTAGCAGAAGCTGGCCCAGAGAAAGGAACAGAAAATTCAGATCACGGAAGACGTTTGCTTCACATGGCAAAGGCAACTTACTTCAGAAATACCAACAAGTATGAAACAGATAATTAATAAACTCGCACCAAACAGATTTGAATCTAGCCTTACAGGAAAGACAAGTGACTCTGAATTATCTCTAAAAATTACAGCCACCATTCCATGTGAATAAAGCATCACACTTTCTTCATTGGGTTCTTATCCCAGTTGGGCAGAGATGCCAACTTCTTAGAGACTTCCCCCTTGATAGGCCAGCCCCAAGCCACAAAGAAAGGGGCCAGATTCTTCTTCACCTGCCGAGAGAACTTCTCTGCCCACAGGTTCATCTTGGAAGGGTTGTCTGTGGGGATGTTAGACATTGTCTGGTATTCAGAGAAGAGTTGGATGAAAGGTTCCCAGCCAAAGGCTTCCTGCAGCTGAAGAGCATGAAAAAAACCAGAATTAAAAGTGCATCATTCTACGCTAAGGTAACACAAGACACTGCATCTGGTCCCATGTTATGAGGATTAGTGACGAAACCTACATTTATTGCTAATCACACCTCATGACTATTACATGATTATCTGTTCATGATACCATTTTGGGGTAAGGTACTGAAATTGTATTTCAGTGATCATGTCACAACCCAATGGCGCTAGATGAGAAATCTGCAGCTGTGTTTCTCTCTAACTCAGCCACAGACAGCCATGAGAAAAGAAAAACTACACTGAACCAGGGCTGCAGAGATGGAAAACACAGGTGAGATAACAGGGGTGGGGTGGGGTGGGGTGGAAAGAGCTGCGTGTCCCTGAAGCTGTTGTGTTTTGAAAAAGTTAAAAAGACCACAAAAATCCGGTTTTAACTGGTACAAAAAGCATCAGGAGCAGAAGTCCCTAAACGGAACACCCCCCAAGGAACCCAGGACTTAAAACTCTCCTAAAAGCTAGAGCACCTCAGAGATCACAGCTGACCCCAGATGACCTGGGCCCAGGACAAAAACTCCCGTCCACCCCTCCACTCTTCTTCTTAAGTTACACCAAGGCTTGGCCAGCCTTGGGCCTTTTGTGTGTGAGTATGAAAGTGGATTAGGGCTTGGGGCACTAACACTTTCTTCCTTCCTCTGAGTGATGTGGGAAACACCCCCCCCCCCCGCACTCTCTGCTATTATTTTATTAATAAAGCTTTAAAACTTAAACACTTGGTGTGTTTCGTCATCTCCTCCCCAAACGATCCTGTGGCCTCAGCCTGATCACCTGACACCTCAGGCAGATTGGTAACAAAAATCTGTCACAATCAGAGTTAGGTGTGACTATAGGGAGGGGCGATTTTACAGTGTATTTCTACTCTGAAAAGAGAATGTTTAAAAAAAAGGTATTGGTATGGGACTCCAGGCTTATTTTTTCCCAATAGTTTCACTATCAATATGCTCAGTCTACAAAGAAAAAGATGTTTTGTCTCTCTACCAGTCCCCTCCCCCCCCGCACACACACCTGAGCTAGGATCTTTTCATGTATCATTACTAATAAGAGTCTACAGATCCAGTTAGGCCACCATTAACAGCTGTGAAACATCATTGTGTTACCTACTAGAACATATACACCTCTGATGATGCATAATTCACCTTCCTCTCTCTGAGATGTTGCTGATTATGTAGCACTAACAGGAGTAAGAACTTAATTTTTAGGTCCAGATTTTTCAAAGTATTTAGTCCTCTAAAGATGCTAATAGGTGCCTTTTGAAAATCCCACCAGGTTCCTATCTGCATTTTTAGGCACTTAAATACCCTTAAAAATCTATCCCTTAGTCACTAAAGTGAGGGACTCATATTCTGCCTGCACACAGGAAGTGTGTCTTAGAGTTTGAAGGTGTCTTTTTTATATAATTGTTTTTCAGAAACAATTTAACCTGCATTATTAAATGTGCTATCTGATGTGAATGTGCCAACACTGCCCTCTACTAGACACACTGGAATAGGTCGGTAATTCCATGTCAGTATGTTGTGCTGAGGCCTGTAGAATAAATTAGCCATTCAGTGAATAGTGAGTCTTATTTAGCCCGAATGGGAGGGGCCTGAATTTTGAGGGAGAAGTTTCTGAGTTCTCTCCCCCTGCCACCTGCTTCTATGTTTGTGGCACATACAAACCAGCCAGCATCCTTTATAGAATCATTTGCATTCAGACACTTTCTTATGAATCTCTCTGTGTTACCTGCAGGTAGGTCTCCAGTGCAGTCCAGAGATTCCAGTCCTTTAGCTGGGCTCCTTTGCCAAGGTAATCGCTGATTCTTTTATTGCGATGCTGCAGCTGTAGCTCTTCATGGGCTCTGTCCCTGGAGATCCCCAGCACCTTCTCATGCACATAGACAGACCACAGGTTGCAGGTGGCCTCAGTAGTGTGAGGGGGGAATTCCCAGCCTGCCCGCTGCTGGTTGTGTCCCAGCTCATGGATGGGACCCCAAAGGCCATTCTCTTGCATGTGTTCCATGTTCACCAACTCCTTCACTGAATCCAAATTACACATGATTGGGTAGCCAGCGTGCATCCAGCCTGGAAGGGGGAGACGGGGCCAACAGTCAAGGTGAGATCTCAGCTCAAGAAAGTTGTTCTGTATTTTTTAGAAGTTGGCAAGTAATTCCCAAAGAACAATAAATCGGACCAATTAAACCCTTTGTTGCGGTCTGGCCTCAAATTAATTCTTTATCAGTATTAATGGATGAATACTGAAAACAAGTCAGTGTGTGTATTTGATAATCAACATTTGATCCATGTTGGGATTGGTCAGATAAGTCATCTTGTTGTAAATGCTGTACCTGTTTGGGGGTGTATGTGCAGGCCCTTCCACTGAGAATACTCCCACATTTAAAATTTCAGTTTCTGCAAAGCTTCATGCACACCTCTCTGAAATTCACTTTCTGTGACCTTTTGTGACAGTGAAACTCAAATGCTGATGGAAATCAAAGCCAAGAGAGGCACAAACACCACCACGGAGGATGCATTAAAGCAACAGAGCTGATATTCATGAACATTATTGTAGTGGTGTCCCCAGATCTAATGTTTTTATTGTGTTTTAGAATGTTTTAATATCGTGTTCATTATACGGCTCTTTAGAAATAAATGGTCTGAGTGTCAGAGATGCTGATCCCCTTGGATTGCAGGGGGAGGGAAGGAGGGAGAAAAGGGGGAGGGGCAGTATGATTTAGTATTGATATTTAATTTCTTTGTTACAGTCAATTTCAGCATGAAGAAAGGTGCTGGATTGACAACTGTGGTTGGATAACAAAACACTCAGTAAATCCACAAAAGAGAGAGAGGCTGGGCAGTGGCAGAACAAGCTTCTAAATTACACACCACCTCCTCTCAATTGATCGCAATTTCTTGGAGGGACGATCCCTTGTGGTGAGAAGTTAGTTCAGTCTTTATGATCCAATCTATCCTTGGCATCTGATTCTCAACACAGGGCACAGATAATTCTAATGATTATGGTTGTTTGTTGGTGTGGACATTAATCTACTGGGGACTGGACTGACATCCACCAATTAATTTCAGACAGACCACTGAGTCATCCTCAGATGTCACTGAGTCTTGTAAAATGCTGCATGCTCTGGCCCCGGTCCAGTAAAGCATTTAACAATCAGCAGGAACGTAGCCCCATTGACATAATTGTACAGCTGGACAAGAATGTATAAGTAGTGTGATGAAATTGACCAAGAAACATTTATAGTGGTGAGCTCTACTAACGTAGAATATGGAATAGTCTTCTCCTAAGGAAACTGCATGGTTGGAGTCATTTAAATTTAGGAATGAACAAAGGACTAGAAAGTATATTGTAGGAGGAGGGGGTTGAATTACATTTGCTAAACTACAAATCTGCTGAAGTTTGGTTCACTATCGCCTAATAAAGCTAGTCACATTGTTTGCTATCTGTTTGGAATTTTAAATATTTGACAGATTCCAAAAGCAAACAAATGGTATTTGTATGGAGGATTTTCCAAGGCTCAGGATGGGTATTCAAGCTTCAGAATTGACCAAGCAGCTCACTAGTGGATTGAGTAAATGTACTGAACATTGTATAAGTCTTCATCCAGACCAGTTTCTAACTGAACTAAAATCCTTCTATTAATAGCATATATTTTTACCTCTCAGTATTTTGACCAGCTCTAGCTGTGCAGAATAATTTTGCACTGGTAAGGAGGGCTGCTGTACTGTGAATTGGGTATAGCCAATTCCTTTCCCCCCGCTCCTAGAGTAAACTGAGGCAGGAGCTGACAGGCAGAATAAGCGGGTGCT